CTGAGAGAGAACAGAGAAGAAGAGAGAGAACCGGGTCAGAACCGGGCCAGAACCGGGTCAGAACCGGGTCAGAATCGGGCCAGAACCGGGTCAGAACCGGGCCAGAACCGGGTCAGAACCGGGTCAGAACCGGGCCAGAACCGGGTCAGAACCGGGCCAGAACTGAGTCAGAACCGGGCCAGAACCGGGTCAGAACTGAGTCAGAACCGGGAGCATGTGATTTGGGATGATAAATGGAGGTGGACTAACAGGTCTTTGAGGGTCGAGTTCTCGCCGACAGGTCTTTAAATCTTTATTTGCAGTTGTATCACACAGAAATATTTTCAAAATCAGACATTGTGATTTCTGGATTTTTCTTTTTAGATTCTGTCTCTCACAGTGAACCTGCAACAGCTCAGACTAGGTCTGGGCGATATGGATCAAAAAATATATCTCCATATATTTTACTGTATCTCGATATACGATATATATCTCCATATATTTTACTATATCTCGATATACGATATATATCTCCATATATTTTACTATATCTCGATATACGATATATATCTCCATATATTTTACTATATCTCGATATACGATATATATCTCCATATCTGTACAGGAAAAAATAACTCCCTAAAACTGAAAACTGCAAAAACAAATCTGCCAAATTCCATCAGGTCTTTTTTTTTTTTTTTTATTTTGCAAGAGGTCGGCAGTTCATGTAGGAACAAAGTGCTTCTGCCACATTTAAGATTACAAAAAATCCCTAATTACATAAATAATAATTTAAGTGTAAAATAAAATAAAAGAAATAATGCATATTTCCTTATTTTCATTCATAAATCTGAAGAAGCACATGGTTATGGTTCTAACAGAGTTAATGCAAAGATGAGCTCGAGTTGAATTGTTCATCTTCAGCAGAGGAAGATTGGGAGGTTCTTTATTTCAACAGATCCATGTTCTTCTCCAGCAGAAGCAGATCTATCAGATCTAACCCTCACCAGCATCAGGATCTGAGGTTTAATCCCACAATCCACTGCAGATCAAAGCCAACGTTTCCAAACACTGTTGTACAAGTGACACTGCAGCAGATTATTCATTAAAATCTTCTGCAGAAATAAACTTTACATCAGCCCGTTTGACATTATAATGTGTTTAATGCAGTTTTGCGCAAGTATTTACGTTTCACAGAAACTAAACTTAAGCACATGGCTCATTTGCATAAACAGCTCACTCCACGTGCCGCTCATGCGGTTCAGCTTCTGTCGCACTAAAGGACACGACTCAGTGTTCATATGAGTGTTCTCTCTGTGACAGTGGATGTGCTGCTGATGTTCTTGTCTGTAAATGGTGGAGAAGGTTCGTGGTGCTGGAAGCTTTTCACTGGCACCAACTTTCACCTTCACAGCAGCAGTGAGGAGCGAAGGAGACACGAGCGACAAAAGTCAAGGAGGCGGCGGCGCACAGAGAAGACAAACAAGCGAAGCGGCCAAATCAAAATTGAATATAAGCATTATATCGATATATACGATATGTCAGAATCCATATCGAGTTTAAAAAATATCTCGATATATTTAAAATATCGAGATATCGCCCACACCTAGTTCAGACCCTCCAGGAGTCTAAGTGGCAGAACTTGCAAAACAGCAGAGTTCAAATACTTATTATCCTCCTATAGCTCTGTATATACACTCTATATCCTCCTATAGTTCTGTATATACACTCTATATCCTCCTATAGCTCTGTATATACTGTCTATATCCTCCTATAGTTCTGTATATACACTCTATATCCTCCCTATAGCTCTGTATATTCACACTCTATATCCTCCTATAGTCTGTATATACACTCTATATCTCCTATAGTTCTGTATATACACTCTATATCCTCCTATAGCTCTGTATATACTGTCTATATCCTCCTATAGTTCTGTATATACACTCTATATCCTCCTATAGTTCTGTATATACATCTCTATATCCTCCTATAAGTCTGTATATACACTCTATATCCCCTATAGTTCTGTATATACACTCTTATATCCTCTCCTATAGTTCTGTTATACACTCATATATCCTTCCTATAGTCTGTATATACAGTCTATATCCTCCTATAGTTCTGTATATACACTCTATTCCTCTTATAGCTCTGTATATACACTCTATATCCTCCTATAGTCTGTATATACACTCTATATCCTCCTTAGCTCTGTAGATACTGTCTATATCCTCCTATAGTTCTGTATATACAGTCTATATCCTCCTATAGCTTCGTATGTATACACACTCTATATCCTCCTATAGTTCTGTATATACACTCTATATCCTCCTTATACTCTGTATATACACTCTATATCCTCCTATAGCTCTGTATATACACTCTATATCCTCCTATAGCTCTGTATATACACTCTATATCCTCCTATAGTTCTGTATATACAGTCTATCCTTATAGTTCTATGATATACACTCTATATCCTCCTATAGTTCTGTATATACACTCTATATCCTCCTATAGTTCTGTATATACACTCTATATCCTCCTATACTGTATATACACTCTATATTTCCTCCTATAGCTCTGTATATACACTCTATATCTCCTATGCTCTGTATATATCTATATCCTCCTATAGTTCTGTATATACAGTCTATATCCTCCTATAGTTCTGTATATACACTCTATATCCTCCTATAGTTCTGTATATACACTCTATATCCTCCTATAGTTCTGTATATACACTCTATATCCTCCTATAGCTCTGTATATACACTCTATATCCTCCTATAGTTCTGTATATACAGTCTATATCCTCCTATAGTTCTGTATATACACTATATATAGCTCTGTACTCTATATCCTCCTATAGTTCTGTATATATCACTATATCTCCTATAGCTCTGTATATACTGTCTATATCCTATATCCCTATAGTTCTGTATATACACTCTATATCCTCCTATAGTTCTGTATATACACTCTATATCTATACTCTATACTGTCTATATCCTCCTATAGCTCTGTATATACACTCTATATCCTCCTATAGTTCTGTATATACACTCTATATCCTCCTATAGCTCTGTATCTCTATATGTTCTGTATATACACTCTATATCCTCCTATAGTCTGTATATACACTCTATATCCTCCTATAGTTCTGTATATACACTCTATATCCTCCTATATTCTTTATCCTATATCCTCCTATAGCTCTGTATATACACTCTATATCCTCCTATAGTTCTCTATATATAGTTCTTATATCTCCTATATTCTGTATATACTGTCTATATCCTCCTATAGTTCTGTATATACACTCTATATCCTCCTATAGCTCTGTATATACTGTCTATATCCTCCTATAGCTCTGTATATACACTCTATATCCTCCTATAGTTCTGTATATACAGTCTATATCCTCCTATAGTTCTGTATATACAGTCTATATCCTCCTATAGCTCTGTATATACACTCTATATCCTCCTATAGTTCTGTATATACAGTCTATATCCTCCTATAGTTCTGTATATACTGTCGATGTTCATAGTCATAAAAAGTTATAATTAAATTTTTAATTTTTAATTAATAAAAAAAATAGTTGATAGATTAATCAATAAGAAAATAATTGTTAGTTGCAGCCCAAGAACCAGGTCTGAACCGGGTCTGAACCGGGTCTGAACCGGGTCTGAACCAGGTCTGAACCAGATCTGAACCAGGTCTGAACCGGGTCTGAACCAGGTCTGAACCGGGTCTGAACCAGGTCTGAACCAGATCTGAACCAGGTCTGAACCGGGTCTGAACTGGGTCTGAACCAGATCTGAACCGGGTCTGAACCAGGTCTGAACCAGATCTGAACCAGGTCTGAACCGGGTCTGAACCGGGTCTGAACCGGGTCTGAACCAGGTCTGAACCAGATCTGAACCAGGTCTGAACCGGGTCTGAACCGGGTCTGAACCGGGTCTGAACCGGGTCTGAACCAGATCTGAACCGGGTCTGAACCAGGTCTGAACCAGATCTGAACCAGGTCTGAACCGGGTCTGAACCAGGTCTGAACCGGATCTGAACCAGGTCTGAACCGGGTCTGAACCAGGTCTGAACCAGATCTGAACCAGGTCTGAACCGGGTCTGAACCAGGTCTGAACCGGGTCTGAACCAGGTCTGAACCAGATCTGAACCAGGTCTGAACCGGGTCTGAACCAGGTCTGAACCAGATCTGAACCGGGTCTGAACCAGGTCTGAACCAGATCTGAACCAGGTCTGAACCGGGTCTGAACCAGGTCTGAACCGGATCTGAACCGGGTCTGAACCGGGTCTGAACCAGATCTGAACCAGGTCTGAACCGGGTCTGAACCAGGTCTGAACCAGATCTGAACCAGGTCTGAACGGGTCTGAAACCAGGTCTGAACCGAACCGGTCTGAACCAGGTCTGAACCAGGTCTGAACCAGGTCTGAACCGGGTCTGAACCAGGTCTGAACCAGGTCTGAACCAGGTCTGAACCGGGTCTGAACCAGGTCTGAACCGGGTCTGAACCAGGTCTGAACCGGGTCTGAACATGTCCTGCTGAGTGTGATGAGGAAATAAAAAAGTTGTGCTTGAACGTCATTATTTTAATGTCGACTTATTTATTCCAACACTGACTCCTTTAATACTCTGAGTCCTGGTCCAGTCCTGGTCCGGTCTGGTCCGGTCCTGGTCCGGTCCTGGTCCGGTCCTGGTCCGGTCCTGGTCCAGTCCTGGTCCGGTCCTGGTCCGGTCCTGGTCCGGTCCTGGTCCGGTCCTGGTCCGGTCCTGGTCCGGTCCTGGTCCGGTCCTGGTCCGGTCCTGGTCCGGTCCTGGTCCGGTCCTGGTCCGGTCCTGGTCCGGTCCTGGTCCGGTCCTGGTCCGGTCCTGGTCCTGGTCTGGTCCTGGTCTAGTCCTGGTCCAGTCCTGGTCCAGTCCTGGTCCAGTGTGTTCAGTGTGTTTGTCCTGGGTGAGATCCTGAGTCAAATTCTGAGGAATTCTGATGTTTTCA